TCTCTCTCTCTCTCTCTCTCTCTCTCTCTCTCTCTCTCTCTCTCTCTCTCTCTCTCCACTTCATCAGCCGCGTTCTGCTTTGAAGCGTTAGGAATGAGCTATCATGCTAAAGTGAGAGTTGACTCCTCCCACACTGAGTAAACTGGAGGGGAGGGGTCAGCTGAGCTCCTGTGCAGCGGAGCACAGAGAGGGAGAGAGACTAAGTGAACAAACAAGCAGGAAAATGAAACTTATCGCCGTCTTTTTTTTTTTTACCGACCTCAAAAAAAGTTATCGTGCAATTAATTGATTTATTGTCTATCGCGACAGGCCTAGTGAAGAATAGAAAATGGTGTCATGCACTTTTAAAAGGGAAAATTACAATAACATTTGATGTCGGAACTCTAAATAAATAAATAAATAAATAAATCAAAGATAAAAAAGTGTTATAAGAAATAAAGTTCACAGCAAGTGTTCCTGAACAAGAGCACATCTACAAAAATTAAGACTGGATCTTAAGATTGGATCTTTTTTGAACTCCTGTGACGGTTGTGCTTATATTATGTGCTCCTGTTTTTTCCCAGTTTCAAAAGGAGGACAAACTCAAATTACACCACTTCATATAATTATGCATTTAAAGGTTAAAAACACCTCCTCTCCCTGGTCATTTCTTTCAGACCAACTTGTTATCTTCAATGTGTCTCTTATTGGCTGAAACTGACGGTTTCCAAAGTTTCTAGCTCCACCCTTTCCAGGCTGGTCCCAGCTGCAGTAACAGGCCTCATTAACACAGGTTGACCTCCATAAGAACACGGTTAGGCCCATCTCAGAGCGGGGTCAGGGCCTGGTACAGCCAACAACAGGCAGGAACAGGTTGATCTGGAACTGCATTTTCTCACAAGCAGTCTCAGTTCTTGACTGGTATTTGTGATCAGCTGAAGGCTCACCTTTTTCCATCTCTCTCTTTGATGGTGTCACACAAGTTTGGTCTCTTCCAGAAAAGTACGGACATTCTTCATCTTCCTACCTCTTACCAGCTTCCCTGATCTTCAGATTGATAGAAGTCCTGCAGAAACCTGTTATCACTTATTCATTCAAATCAGATGTCAAAGCAGATAAACACCTCCAGTTTTATATGTTTACACTTGTCCAAGAATCATTTAAATCCTTGATCTTGTTAGACTGAATAAAACATTTTTTTATTTTTAGGGGGGCTGATGGAATTGAGGTGTTTCTCTGCTTTGACACACCTGATTTGAATGAAAGTGTGATAATCAGGCTTCTCAGAACCTGAAGACCTGCAGAAGATCAGGGAATTTAACTACTGATGCAGGACAGTGGTCTTTTGAGGACCAGGACTGGGCACCACTACTCTAGAATAAGCCCGTCCCACTATGCCGTTTCCCCTCCCAAATGTGAGAAAATTTAATTTTGACACTTTTAAAATGACCCACCCGGATTAAATGATTTTGCATATTTAACCATTTGAAAATCCACAAGAGGTGAACAAAGAGGTCTCAGTGGTCACAATGAGGCACTGATCAGTTCACAACAAAAACCTTTTTAACAAACAAGATTTAAAAAAGTACAAGCTAATATGATCATAATCCTACAAACATCATAAAAACTTAAGTTGATGAACAGTAAAAATGTGCAACTGGAAAGTTTATTTTCCTCATCTGCAGACTACCACTTACTCTGATCTGATGTTTTCAGATATTAAAGGTGCAAGAAGCAGTAAGGACTGTACGACTAAAGACTGCAAGAAAAAAACAGTTTCTTGAGGATCTCACTGTCTAGTTTGTGTATTTTTATAATGTCTCTATTAAAGGGCTTGCGTTACAAACTCAGATAACGAAGATATATAAATGACAGTTTTAGTCAATACCAGCAAAATAATTTTATTTTAATATACTGACAATACGGTTGTTTAAAACAAACACAAAATTGCTTATCGTCAAGATTTGTTTTAAGTGTTCGATTAGTTTGTTTACATTTAGCTAACAAGAAAACGTAGGGATGGCTGCAGTGTTAGATATTGTAGGCTGCACGTGACATTTAAAAACTCTTTGAGTTAAACGACAGTTAGACATTTGGAGGACAGCTAATTTGCAATTGTTTGTCCACCTCATCTGACAATTAATGAAGCTTAACATTCCTCTTTTAAGAGAACAGTACCAATTCTTACCTGCTAGCTCTGCTCACCAATGAAGCGTGAACCGCCGACAAGTTGTGATGACGTCGTCCTGCCACGTCTGCTTCATTTTGACTCCTCCCCTTTTACAAAAGCAACCGGGTTGATGCTGCGTTACAGGTCAATTGTTCACTTCCAACTTTGATTCTCTACCCAATAAAAATAATAATAAAATCCTATAAGAAATCACATTTTCTTTGGCGTGGCTAGTTTATTATGAGTCTTTATTCATGATGTTAAGTCACTCGAGAAAATATGTCAATATAGCAAAAGTTATTTTATTATCTTAAAAAACTGTAGTGTTACTTCAGAATATTTTAGAATTATAGCCAAAACATATGAAACCTGTAAAAACAAAATGAAAAAGCAAATATTAAAGTTTTCGTGGTCTTTTTATCTGATATTATTAACGCAAGGTGTTCGAAACTACCTGAATTTTAAATGTTATATTTACATTTGCGAGGCTCATTGAAAGCAGCACAGAAAGGCCCAGTACAAACTGCGCATGTTTAAACTGCGGCTCAAACTAGAAAACCCATCAAGACAAAAATCAAAGAAAGAAAAAAAAAAAAGGATTTGTTGTATTAAAAACTTGACATTGAGAATTTGAATATGTCGGTTAATTTTCTTTAATATAATTGTGGCACTTCTGTTACATTTTATAAACTCTTAGAGTTATATCAAGCCTTCCAGAATCATGTGCATAGGCTACATTATTACTACAATAAAATCTTTTTTCTACATTTTGCAACAAATTGACAATACTTAATATAACGCATATCATTTGATTGTTAAAAACAATTGCTAAAATAGACATTTCCTAATTGCCAAACTTTCTGCAATATTAACTTCCTTTTGTTGTAAATCTTTTGTTTGCATCACAGTTTTATTTTTAATACATAAAGAAAGATGACCATTCATGATACTAGTGTGATGTTTAACTTTGTCCTTCTTTGAGCTAAAAATGTCTTGATGTGTTTAAAAAATAAAAATATTGGTTACACGGTACCAATACTGGATCATTTTAAAACAGACCAATTTGTTTTTATTTTTTTAAAACAGCAACATGGTCTGCATCGATGATATATATATTTTAGTTTCTGCTAAAATTATCCTGATATAACATGTAAAAATTATCCTGAAATAACATGTAAAGTGAGAATATTCATCAGGGTGAATCTTCAGCTCATCAAAATCAGTGTAACTCAATGCCGGCCATGGTGGGAAATCAAAGCAAACTTCCTACAAATAACTTTTCATATTATTGTTGATTTCAAGTGACAATTTTATTTATTTATTTTTTTACACAGAATTATATAGACACTTGTAACCACCACTAAGTAGCAGCAGTGAGCTATGGTATTTCCAGAACTGCCTGAGACAACACATTTGGACAACAGTATTTCTGCTGTAATAACTGTGTAATGTAAATGTAAGGTGGCATAAAGATACATAAAATGGTGTTCATGAGAACTGCAGTGAAATTTCTTGAGGCTGAAGCCATTTCAGAAACACAGCAACCCACTTTGATCTTAGCCTTGCTCAGACTAGCCATTTGCTCATCAGTCTGATTAGCATTAAAGTAATTTTCTTCAAACTGAGATCATTAAAAGAACTATTTACAACAGTTAAGATTGCTTATAATTGTTCCACCGAACTTCAAAACACCTGGACTATTCCTTTAATGGCACACCCAGCACAGAGACCCTTGGCAATTGTTTCTTAAACAATTAGCATGTCCAAACCTTGCTGTGAAAACAATGACAACAACTGAAAGAAAAAAAATAATAAAAAAATTACATATTGTAAAAACTGGGTCCAAATCCTCTAAGACAGAAGAAGCATTAAAAGCCTTTAAAAGATTAATTTTGGAAAAGTAAGACTCCAACACTTGGCAGCAGACAAGCATCATTCATCACAGTGGTCTGTCTTATTTAAGTAGGCATGAGAACACTTGGTCAGTAGAGCAAAAAAGTGAAAACAAGAGCAGTGAAGTGACTTTGTGTAGCACTTGTAAATGAGAATCTGTGCAAAAAACATATACAGATAAAATAAAACAAAATTTATCAAGACTAGGGTTTAACATGGAAAACAAATAAAGAACCCAAAACAAATAAACTTTAGAATATGAATAGTACATCTCTTAATAGTCTTTTTTAATTATAACAAACATCTCTTTATGCAGGTCTGATAATAAATGACCACAGTCAGGTAATTTAAAAAAAAGACACTTTTTCTTGATAATCACATTATGCTATCAGAAATGATCCACAATCTAACAACAAACCAGTCATTTTAACTGTCCAAAAACTGTTAGCACCACTTTGTCAAAAGAGATACCAAGCAATTTTATTTAAAAGATTTTAAGCTTTAACAAGTCAGACTTTCCTTGGAATTATGGCACTCAAGGTCAGCCCACGGCATTGGCACTTTAGGTAAATGCTAAGGGTCCATCTAAGGGGCGCCACAAATGGGGAATGAAAAAATATTTTTTAATTGAATTTTCTAAATCCACATGGATCCCAAAGCGCTTTACACTTAGTCGTTCACTCATTCACACACATGTTCACCCCGGACCCTCTGACCACCATTAGTAGACAAGGCGGGTGAAGTGTCTTGCCCAAGGTTATAACGACCAAAACAGCTGGAAGGGGGGGGATCGAACCGGCAACCTACCCCTAATGATTACGGGACGACTGTTCCAATCTTGAAGTTTGTTAACAGGAAAAAAAAAAGGATTGCAATGCTGAAGCAAGGGAAAAACAAAGAAGCAAAGGTACTTGTAATCAAAGACCTGAAGGAGTTGGTGAAATATGAAGGTTAGTTAGGAGAAAAAAAACTACTGAATTATTGGGACGGCTGTGGCTGGTTAGAGGACAATTTCCTAAACCACTCAGAGTGGAAATTCGATTCCCCGCTATTCAATCACATGTCGAAGTGTCCCTGACAAAACACTTCACCCCCAATGCCTCTGATGTGTGTCCCATCAGTGTATGAATGTGATTTAAATCACTGATTAGTCTTCATAGATGATTTGTACTTGTTAGCTTTGTAGAGACCTAGTAAAGTGTTGTGTAAATGAGGACACAGGTTGTAGTGTAAAGCCCAAGTATCCTAGTTGGATAGAAAGGTGCTATATAAGTACAGTCCATTTACCAGTAGTAAATAAGTTAGTCTTCCTCCCAATCCTTTGAGTCAAATTTGATTATGTATAAATACTGTGTGTTTTATACAAAAATGAAATGGATGACTTAGACAAATTCTTGTCTGTACTGTATACATATTTATTGTGTATCCATCTCCTTTCTGGTTTACCCAGTAAATGGTATAATGTGTATTTTATTTTTATATGGCTCAAAATCAATCAATCAATCAATCAATCAATGTGTATTGACAGTGAGATTTAGAAAATTGAACAAGGGGCAGCACCTAAAATCTTGCCTAGGGTATCAAATTGGCCAGGGCTGGCCCTAATCCCATAATGGGATAAGGAAATTGTTGAGATAAGACAAATAAAAGTTAATCATCTGTATTTCCAGCATTCACTGTTTCTACAGCTACACTAATGTGCTGACATCATCACAACTTTGTTTTTGCAGACACAATGTCTTGATATAGAACTGGAGTCAGAGGAATGTAATCTTTCTGAGAGACATCTAAGAAGTATAGAGTATCCTGCGTCAAATCTGGATTAAAACCTTCTCGGACCAATTTAAGCTTCTGTTGTTTGAAGGTCTCTGTGACGTCCACACACGTCTGAAAACAGGCAGAAGAGAAAGGTGAACAATTTGACCTCAGGTTGAATAATCTTGTGAAAACATCACTTACTTGTATTCTGAGGAAGCGGGGCCATGCATAAAGAGGCAGGGTTTTCACTAAATGCTCATAGAGTTTTTTTCCATCTAGTTTGAGATCCTGTTTTAACACAATAGCAGCCATTCCTGTCCGACCTTCATATCCTGAATGCACAGAATGGAAAAAGTCATTAAGTCATGTTCGTTGTTATCCAGATGGTATGGGTGGTTTCTTCTTGATTTTACCAAAAAAATAAATAAAAAATACTTCCCACTTAATACAGAAGACTAAGAATACACGATTGTGGTCAGAAGTAAGGATTTTTATGATGATTAACTTAACTTTCTTTTTCCAGGGTGAAGCGATTTTACATTTAATTAGAATGTTTTTTAAAAAAAAAAAAACAAGAACTGGGTGCACATCTTTTCAAACAGTGGTTCCCAATCTATTTTCCTCAAAGACTCCTTCTTTTAATTCCAAACCAAGCTTAGCACCCCCTCCCCCACAAATCCCTCAGTAGTCACCAACTTTCACAAGGATATTGAACCTTTATCTCTATCAAATTAATTAAAAAAAAATAAAGTGAGTACTTACAAACTTTTAGTTGGGAAAGGAAAAGAAAGAACTGAGTTACACAGAGTTAAATGTTCAAACAGACTTTTCATATACAAACAAAATGATACTTTCACAACCTCTGAGCAGACAAGGTTATGGGCCCACCTTGAGCTCTCTGGGCCCCTCAGGTTGGGAATCAATGTAAACTATTGTGGCTTTTCTCCAGTCCAAACTAGTTCAAAGTTTTACATATTGACTAAAATATATAAATTAGTTAAAAAGTGTTGCTGACAGTTTTAGAAAGTCTTAACTTTGCCAAGGCCAGATAACATCTTATTGGTGATCACAACTGACTGCAGCTGGCAAGTTTTGTTTGCCATTATAAACATGATGTGTTTTGACAGGAATTGTCAACTCGGCAAATAGTCAGAACAATGAGAACATTCAAGGAACTCTGATCTAAGAAAGAAAGGAAATTGGTTAGCATGTTTAGGAACAACTCAGGAACCACCAAGGCTCAAGCCTGTCATGAACTGGACGCTGGTGGGACAATAGTTTCACTGTCCACAGTGAAGCAAGTTTTACATGGACTTTGTCTGTTTCAACAAATCACCTCCCCAAGCTGCAGCATCATGTGCAATGCAGTGAAAATAGTTGTGCCTCTAGTTGCCAGTATTGCACAAGTATGTCTCATGTTATCTGTTTATTCCAGATTTTTCTTTGTCTGCCACTTCCAGCCTTGACTTGAACTGTGCCTGTGGTCCTCCATTGTCTCACAATGTTTCTCACAGTGGAGAATGAAAGCTGAAATCTCTGAGATAGCTTTCTGTATCCTTCCCCTAAACCAAGATGGTGAACAATCTTTGTTTTCAGCTCATTTGAACGTTGTTTTGAGACTCCCATGCTGCCACTCTTCAGAGAAGATGCAAAGAGGAGAAAAACTTACAATTGCCCTCCTTAAATACCTTTTCTCATAATTGGAGTCACCTGTCTATGGAGGCCAAGGGTCACTGAACTTACCAAACCAAATTTAAGTTCAAATAATTAGTTCTAAAGGGTTTGAAATAAAAAAAATTGACAAAAGTGCCCGAATTTATGCACCTGCCTAATTTTGTTTAACCCAATTATTGCACACTTTCTGTAAAGCATATAAACTTCATTTCACTTCTCAAATATCACTGTGTTTGTCCCCTATATGATATATTTTACTGATTTTTTTAAATCCAAACAATCAATGATTTATAAAAGGTAACTCAAGAAAATTAACAAGGCTGCCCACACTTTCGCACCCCACTGTATAGCACTTTTGAAACACGGGATAAATTAAAGCGTTGTTGTAAAGCACAGTGTAATGATGAGATTCCACAGACCTGATACAGAGACTCCATAAACGTTGGCCTCTTGGATAAAGTCAAGAAGACCTAAAACATCTGACACTTCTGTAGTAGATACATTCTCCCCTTTCCATCTGTTAAGAAAACAAAAGACATCGTTGTCAAACCTGGAAGACATAAAGAGCTACAGATTCAGCTGATTAATCTTTGCAACTTTTTTGTATTCATCTTTATTTAACCAGGTAAATCCCGCACAGATCTCTTTTGCAAGAGAGGCATGTTCCCAGTAAAAACCCACACAAGCATGAAGAGAACATGGAAACTCCACACAGAAAGACCCCAGGTCTAAACCAGAGATCAAACCGAGGACTTTCTTGCTGTGAGGCATCAGTGCTAACCACTGAGCCATTGTGCCGCCCATTAACTTAAGTGTATTGTAATGCTTTACAAACCGCAACATAAATCTCTACATCACATTTGGTAAACTATTATAAAACAAACAATGTTTCCACTTAAACAGATTCTAATCAAGAACATAAAATTTGTATTCAGTGCTTAAAAGTTTGTATATCCTTTAAAACATGCAAGCGACTTATCAAATGGTTTTTAAAAAGGCCATCTATCTTGGAGCCAACAGGTGACCAGGGATGGCCATCTGGCCATAACTTTGGCCACTTGACACAACCAAGATGAGTTACAGCAAAAGGAGGATGTGACCTCCCAAATTAACAACTAGGACCATGCACAAAAGTTCAAACCATGCTATCCATTGGCTTTCCATGCATGCGTTCTTAGTTTATATGATATGAGGTGGTTGTCTTGTATAAAACGAGGACTGGTCAAACACCAAACTCTCAATTTTAGACTAATAATGCTGGCAGTGTAAAGACTACACATCATCAAAGCCCTGTCCTACACAGTGTCTAATTCTGGTATCAGTTGTAACTGAGTTAACCCTCTGTAATTACGAATCGTACTAACAAATTTGGGTTTCATCAACCAACCATGTGAAATACTGTTTTCATAGAAATATTGTGTGTGCAAAATTCTAACTTAAACAGTACATGTACCTGAACGTGTCTCCAATACGATCATGGAAGTAAAGGAAGTCTCTGTGATCACAGAGCAGAAGGTCTCCAGTGTTGAAATAGACATCCCCGACTTTAAACACATCTTTTAGCAGCTTCTTCTCAGACTCCACCTGGTTTCCAGCATAGCCCAGGAATTGGTTCATTGTTGTCACCGGGGTCACCAAGATCCCTGCCTCTCCTTTTTTTTTTTAATAAAGAAAAAAGGACAAACATTTAGAGGACATATGTTGAAAGTATGTAAAAGTTTCACCAACTTTTATGAATCTAGACAAAATAAAAATAAATAATTGTCAGTCTTCAGACATGTTTCGATGAATTTAATAGAATGGTTCACATTCTTATTTAAAGGGATAAAGACTTGGTTACCTTTTTGTACTTGTATGCATCTTCCAGATTTTGCTCGTACTGGCTCATATGTTTGTGGGTCATATCTCAAAAGCTCAAAAGGAATAGAAAGCTGCAAGAGAAGAAAGGTCAATTGTGATTTTCTACTGACTGAGGTGTTGGTGAAGAGTTTGTATTAAAACCTTTGTTTGTCAGAACTTGAGGTAAAGTGAACTTATCTAGTGATCAGTTGTACTAATTTCAGTCATTTTATACAACTCCTAAGTATGGTAATTTAATTGCTATTTAAAAAGGTACTTACTGCAACATCGCAAAGACTGGTTAAAAAAATTGATCATAAAGTAAGAACCAAAGTTTTTTCTTGATGAGTAATGTGTCCTTAAACTAAACACTGAAGCAAAACTACCACGTGTTTATTTACCTTTTGAAACAGCCGAAGTGACAGAAAATAGGTTAACAATGGAAGAGACATTTAGGAAGGAGAAGTGAGACCGTTTTGATGTATTTGTACATATTTTACACTCACCTTTCTGCACCATTTGAGATAGCTCAGAAGAACAGTTTGATTTCATAATTTACAATGAGTATATTTATATGTGTCTGTTGTAAACAATTGCTACATATATGCTATTTTTTTAACCATTTTTTAAAATCATTCTTTGCTTTTTAACACTGTTTTTAAATTGGAGAAAAACTTTTTTTTGTAACATTCCTCTATCGTTATTGTACGATGGATTATTAGTAACAGACTGCGAGAATTTCTTTTAAGTCATAACATTACGAGAATAAAGTCATATTATGAGAAAAAAGACTTGCAAGAATAAGGTCAAAATTTTGCCAGAATAAAGTTGTTATATTTTGAAAATGAAGTCGTAATATTTTAAGAACTCGTACATCATAAAGAAGTATTACCACTGCGTTAAAATGAGGAATGGAGCATTTTGGGAAAAGACACTAAAGTACGGTAATCATGAAATACTTCATAAACACAGTGAAATGCATTAAGGTAGTCCACAGCAGATGTGAACCAGATCAGGAATGTAAAAGACATTTAATAAAATTTGACATTTGTCATAAAAAAAAAAATCTCATAGTCAGGCCTTAATAATTTGTCATATTATTGTGCAATTTGTTTTTAAAAAAAATGGAACTTTTGAGCTCCAAGATAGAAAATTAATCCAGAACAACTGAGGTCAGGATTCTGATTCAGAGTCATACTTGGTCACATGTTGCAACAGTGTTTGAATGAAAAGAATACAGAGAAATAAATTGTTAATAATCATTAGCCTCGACCATGAGCACAAGTTTAGTTTATATTCAAAGTGAAGTCTAAGTCCAGACGATTTTCCTGCTGACCTTGTTGAAGTAGCTGGCCCTCCCAATTGGTCCAACTTCAGCAGTGTAGTTGAGGAAGCCAATGCTGGTCTCAGTCAATCCATAGCCCTCCCTGATTGTACGAATACTAAATCGTGTCAGAAACTTCTTCCATATATCTGATCTGAGACCACTTCCTACGGCCAACCAAACACAGTGGGCTCTTTCCTCTGGAACCTGGAGGCATGAAAGTCACAATAAATATATATTTAAAACTAATCATAAACTTGCAAAGTAACTGTAATTTCTTTGACATGTTTCATTAGGAAGGCATGAAATCGGACAATATTTTGCTGTTTAATCTCAGCTCTTGATTTAAATGAGGACAGTCTTACCGTAGGCTGATTAAGTAGGTATCGACAAAGCTCGCCTATGTACTGCACCACAGTCACATTGTATTTTAGACAATCCTTCCAAAACTGACTGGCAGAGAACTTCCTTCTCAGCACACATGTTGCACCTGTGTTTGAAAGAAGGCAAGAACAAGATTTATAAGCAAAAATAACAGCAACTATTAAGTAATCAGACATAGGTCATACTCTGTTCTGATATTCCACAAATAAACTAGGCTCACATTAACATTGGCTATTTAAATAGATGCAGAAGTACACAAAGGTGCTTGTGAAATTGGAATGGTGTGTATAGGAACATAGAAAGTGGTTTCATTGCTCAGTCAGCTGCTGTTTAGTTCTTTCAAGTTCTTTGTGAAAACATATATTTTGGATGTTAAGATTAAAAAGCATTACCTAAACCAAAGCAAAAACAGTTACAAAAAAAGACAATTTTTTTTCTCTTCGGTCATTTCTAATTACAACCAATACGGCAATCTTTTTGATTGATTGTCTCTGTAAGCTGACATCTTACCAAGGTGTATGCATCCTCCAATCCCTAGGAGAGAGGCAGACATGTGGTAAAGAGGAAGAGTGATGTAAATGATGTCATCAGCCGTTGCACCGCACATGTCAAAGAGTGCCATGCTCCCAATGGCTTTCAGGTGACCGACACGGGCTGCCTTTGGGAGACCTGATGAAGAAAGACACGCCAAAGCGAGATAAAAGGAAAGTTCAATCCTACCTTGATTAGTGCGGACAAGAAAAAAAAAAATCAAGACTTTTGACTGCATTACAACTCTCTCCAAAAGCTGAACAGAAATGTTTGCCTTTAAATACAGTATTATGCACACTGATATTTGTAATAATTTTATCTCATTTCTTCTGTATTGCATGACTAAATACATTTGCTAAACACACTTTATTTTAGTTAATCTGTACATCATAACTGAGTTGCTGAGGTGGTGCAGCATATTTTTGGGAGGACTGTGCTGTGATCTCTGTCTTCTCAGTCCGTCTCAGGACCCCTAGTGGCAACTCTTAATGAGCAGAGAGATCTCTGGAGCGGTCTTAAATATCCAAGAGAGCAAGAGTGATTCTAGTCTTAAAGGGATCCCTGATTAGTTGTAACATTAGACTTTATTTGATAAACATTTATTTTAACTGTAAAATAAAGACTGTAAATGTACTGTAACATGTTTAGTTTTGTAAATTTTTAAAAATATATTTTATCACGGATGGGGCCATTTTATTTACACAGAAAGCATTCTGGGTAAATGATGACGTGGGTAGGTCCTTGGTGCGAGGCTGTTAGCGAGCTAAATCCACACTGAAGTTTAATCTTGGACAATATCTGACGACTTTTAAATGAAACCAGAGAGCGTTGACAGAGAGGAGAAGGTAGAAATGACTCAGCCTGTAACTGAAAATATRGATGGAGGACAACAGAGCTGCTTCATGGAAGAAGAACCTCAGCTTAGCCTGTTAGCCTTTGCACTAGCGCAGATGCTATATTTCCTTATATGTATTAGTTCGGCGCTAGCGTGACAAACAAGCTAAACTGAGGTCCTCCATCCATATTTTCAGTTGCAGGCTGTCATTTTTGCGTTCCCCTCTCTGTCATGTGGGTGGAGGACCTCAGTGACGAGAAGAGAATGTGTAGTGCTGAGCTAATACATGTATGGTGATGGCATTGGGGCTAACGCTAAAGCTAACAGGCTAAGCTGAGGTTCTTCTTCCATGAAGCAGCTCTGTTGTCCTCCATCCATATTTTCAGTTACAGGCTGAGTCATTTCTACCTTCTCCTCTCTGTCAACGCTCTCTGGTTTCATTTAAAAGTCGATTGTCAGATATTGTCCAAGATTAACCTTCAGGGTGGATTTAGCTCGCTCACACAGAGGACCTATCCACGTCATCATTTACCCAGAATGCTTTGTGTGTAAATAAAATGGCCCCATCTGTGTAATATATTTTTAAACTTTTAGTTTAAAAATGATAAAAACTAAACAACCTACAGTATTTTACAGTCTTTATTTTACAGTTGAAATATATTTTTATTAAATTAGTAAATTTAAGAAATTCTCAACATTTAAATGTAAAATTCTTTACTTAGTTTGATAAATACAAGCCCAGATTGTTTTTAATGACTGTAAGGTTACATTTATCAGTGTGTGAATGTGTGTATGAATGAATAATTCATAAAAATTCTAACGCATCTTTGAAAAGCGCTATAAAAGACTAACGCATTATTATTATTATTATTATTATTATTATTATTATTATTATTATTATTTTATTTTATTTTATTTTTTATCAACAGTAGAAAGAGTTCACAGTACCTGTAGTGCCGGAGGTGAAAATGAACAGGAAGTTTGACATGATGTGAACTTTTGGGATGTTTTCCAAGGTTTCTCCGGAAACATTTTCCACTTTATCTAACAAACTGTTGAACTCCTCTGATGTCTTGTCCACCACCCACACATCAATGTTGTCTTGTTTCAGATCAGGCAGCACCTCCTTCACCAAATGCACCAAATCTGGGAAAAAATAAAACAATAATAAAATACATAAAGTAAATGTCAGTTATTCATTTCTATTCTAGTCCCTGCAGAACAAATCACAGCTGCATCAGAACAATTTGTATGAACAGTGTACTTCAGTGCAAAAAGAAACATTCTTGAATTAAGAAGTAGTCATTTATATTTGTACACTTTGTAAATTAATTTGCACAAATGGGCCATTACAAACCTGTTTTAAGTTTTTTTTACAAGTATGGGACCCACACACCGTCACTTTCATGAACAATGTGTCAGTTTGTTCAAAAAAATAATTGCTTCCATTGTTTTAATGCTTAAACGTAGGATGATAGGAACTGTGTGAAATGGATGTAAACAAATTTATAGTATATGACTCTTTGACTACGTTAAGCAGCATTTAAAGTTGGTTTCATTTTATACCAGAGGGACGGAAGAACTCAGAAAGACCCTTGAGCAAGAGGCGGGTCAATTCTTTGGATGATAACTACAAACTGATCTATTAGGAAACAACTATTGTGCAGAATTATTATTATTATGCAATCAAATGAAAAACACAATTTCACATTTCACTTTTTTATTTTCATATGAGATGCAAACTTCTTCCAAAACCCCTAACCCTGCTTGAAGAAACTGTCTTCTAAAACCTGCTAGTAGGTTTGAGAGTTGATTTTGAGTCATTTCAACCAGCTCATCTTTAATAAACACATTGAGTGTGTACTCACACTTCAGAACTGCTCATTAATATGAAAAAACACTGGAGTAAACACTTTCAAACTGTACCATTAGAAATAAATCTGAATAATCTTTTTATGTTTGATTTCAGTGTTTGCAATGAGGAGTGAGTTGTTTTTGGCCTTATTTTAAAGTTTTTTATTATCTTTAGGATTATATGCATTTTGTAAAAAATAAAATAAAATAAACTGCAATGGTTCTTTGTCCATTTAAGTTTGATAAATTAAGAGTTTCTCCTGAACAGAAATCTGTTTTGAGCAAGAAGCAGCCTCACTGTACAGCAGGGTTTTTTACAATAACTCAGATACCAGACATCCATCAATGAGTAGGCCTGTGTATTGGCAAGAATTTGGCGATACGATACATATCATGACAGAGGGGTCACGATACGATATATCCCGATATATTGCGATACTATAAGCAAGGCGATATATCCCGATATATTGCGATACTATAAGCAAGGCGATATATTGCGATTTTTTTGTCAAAAAATTCTATTAAATAAAAACCTCTTAAGGGCTCGACACACGGGGAGTGACAAACTACAGCGATTGACGGCTGTCATCGCAGCCAGGGTGAAACTTGACACATGGGACGCGATAGCGATCACAGCGTTGCGAATCGCGCTCTCAGGTCGCTTGTCTTCACAAAATTTGATTGGTTCTTGACTCGAACAGCGGGTGTGCATTACGGACATGTAAACTAAACAAATCTTGCGATGCTAATGATATTGGAAAACAAACGCACATCAAGATACAATTTTATGAGGAAAAACTTACCATAAACTTCACCCTGGTGCCAATAAATTCCCATAAAGCTTTTTAGTAATCCCTTGGTGAAAGTGTTAGCTAACGGCAGTGTGTAGCATACTCTCCTCTCATTGGTCAGTCAATGAAACCCTCGCTGATTGGTTGTACACTAAGCGACAGTGACAAAAGTTGAACATTTTTCAACTTTCATATGTCGCGTCGCAAGCTCGCGTGTGCACGTCTACGTGTACAAGCGCGAAACTTCACATGCACTATTTTCGCCGGTCGCTTGGCTGGAGGAGGGCAAGCGATTGTCGCCTCACCGCACAGGCTCCATAGGAAATGAATGGAGAGCGAGCGACGTCGCCTCCCGTGTGTCGAGACCTTTACTGGGGAAAAAATGAAAAACCAAAATTCATTGTCTCAGAAAATTCTGTTACATAGACATGCTTTTGATACATTTAGCTGTGTTTTGTTTTGCATGTATTTTATTTTATTTGTTTCATATTTCTTATTTCATCCATATTTTCAATTATTAGACTAAAT